GCTCTATTTACTGTAGCTATATGGCTATGTATTTACTTATAAAACAAAATGAATTCAAAAGTTGTTTGCTATTAGACTAATGGAGTGAAAACAGCAGCAACTCTGAAAGAAAAACTTCAAAGACACCCAAAATCCAAAGAGCTATTAATTAAGACGACTTTCAGTCATTAAAAGAACATCTACGTACTTTGAAGCCAAAATATAAGTAAATAAATAATGACTCAAGACTTTTGAACAGCACTGGGACTGGGGATATGCCAGCACTCATTGTTACAGGGAGACAATTTTTTACTGTGCTATTAATTCTTATAAAGTAATAAGATCAAATGTTCACAATGACTGACAGAAAGTTCTGCATTTGCTTTTTCACATTTAACAACACATATATTAAACACGATACAAAGTGTCTGATTTATTCTACAATATGCAGACTTGGCAGGTAGTAGATTATGGTCAATGTGTAATGATGACAGAAAATTTGGCTAATTAGTGCATTCCTAATGTGCAGAACTTTTTAAGTAAAGATGAGTGACTCAGGACTTTGAGACACTGTGAGAAAAAGTCTATTCATCTGTTCAGGATCAATCATCCTGATATGCGTCTGCAGTGGCCTTTCGTATTCAAATGAAGAAGAAGACAGTGCCGCTGTACGGTCGAGACAGAAATTATTCAGTCTATTGAAGGAGGATGTTTCATTTTAAAATAGCGGCGTTGTCCTTTCCCTTTATGGTACTTTACAATACATTTTACACAATAAATAAGGATTAACTTAAGGCAGTAAAACTTGTTAACACATCTGGTCCCTGATTTAGAATGCCCATTTATTTAGAATAGCTGTATGTTCATGTGTGGCAAAAATATTTTGGTTGATTTTCCTAATTTTGATGGCTGAGTGGAAATTAAAAAAGAAAAAAAAAGCAGAACTTGTATATATTATCAAATTAATGTCCATAATATACTGAAAAGGCATGAAAATATGCTCGGACAAGTTTAAAAACTTATGTCCAACCCTTCTTGTGCTCCACATTTCTCATCCATCTTCATTTACTTCCCCAGCTGCCGCCCACAGTCACAAGTCCCCACAAAGGGTTAAGTGCCTCTTTAATATTTACACACCTCCATATTCAGCCATCACAGAGCAGGTTATTGCATAAGACACGCACATGCATACTGTATCATCATTTATCATTCATCTTCTGTACCAACACCTAGCAAGCAGATTGTGCCGGAAAAGATTTACTGTTGTGTTAATTTTGGCTACAGAGCATTCACTTCATCAGCTGTCAGAGGTGATATTAAAAACTACTTCCCCTCCTTTCTGTCGAGCTGCCTGCCACGTGTTGCAAGCCCTAAATCCGAGTCATAATGTGACGTTTAATAAATCAGACGACAGATGTTTCCATCTGTGCACCGGGTGGGAGCTGTAACCACCTAAAACGGCATCGATTTGGACCAGTCAAAGGAAGAGATTGTAGCAGCAGGACATGACAGTAACATGACATCCTGATTAATACATCCAAGCATCCACTGTCTCACCCGAACACCCTGATCTGTTTCGGTGTCACTCTGTTTCACAAGAAATAACAATTACCAAGTCATTGCAAAGATCTAAGTTGTTTGTTTTTATTATTCTGTGAACCTATGGGATGAAACTTTGTAAATCAACTGATAGCAAATAACAGTATAAACAGCATTTTTACTGTTTCTTAATATTACACCATTTTGGAAGAGCATGTCCATTCTCACTGAGCACAACTTCAATGCAATAGCATGGAAGTCTTTGTAAAAGGCAAAATCAGATTGAAATAGTTAGTTTATCATTAGCTCAACTAAATCTGGAATCATTCTTTGCTAGAACATTGAAAAATTTTTTGCTCGTCAAAATAAGCACACTGATTGGCGTTGCTAAAATAGCCATAAAATGAATCCCCAAAGTTTGGACTGCTGTTCACAATGTTGAGTCTCTGTGGATTTTGTGTGCTTTTAATGCCTCACATGGGGTTAGATTAAATTCACATTTACCAATAGTTGTGTAAGTTATAACAGATCATGTTTGAATCAGTTCGCAAACATCAAGAGGAAAAAAACATAAAGTCTAATAACTTGCTAGATTCTTGCTGTGGCTCCCCCCCCCCTGATTTGCAGATATAAAAGGAAAATAAGGGAGAAAAATATCAAGCTTGAGTGTTGCACATGAATTAATGCCAGCAAAACTAAAATCATCCAGCACACAGTTCTTCGTCACAGAGAAATGCACAGCAACAGCCATTGCACCAGGGGAATTGATTAAGCAAGTGTTAAATCCTTTATCCAACACCATCATATCAGTAAACTTAGATTCACATCTGAAGGCTCTCATGCAGAAAGAACATCTTAAATCAAGGGTAAACATCTTAATGATTTACCACACAGGATGTGCACTTTGGCACTGATTCTGTTGATGCTCAAAGGCCATCTTCAGTGGTAGGATTTCTAAGAGGGAAGTTATACAAAGCTGATTTAAAAATCCATTTGATCTTTCATTGTCCATCCATGGATTAACATCCTATGCTGCTAACTCTAAGCTACATGATTCTACAGGACTACCAAGAAATGAGCTAATCTGTTCAAAAACGTGTGCCGAACACACAAATAAAAAACTTAGCATTAGTTACAGAAGATGGTTTAAGATCTGTACTGAGACGTGAGGAGTTATTTTTGTTGTCATTCTAGTATCAAACCATTTTATACTCAATGGTTTATTCCAGAGAAAACCTTTTTATTAAAAACTTGGTGAACATGATTGAAATCTGTCAGAAGTGGACATTCATGCATACATTTTTCTTTACATACAAAATTACCAGATGGGAACTTTGACGTCATAGTCCTAGTCAGCGTGAGCGTCTTGATAATAACTTACATGATTATAAGGCATACTATCTGTTGAACTATGTTGTTGTTGTGACATTTCTGAAAATGTTTATGTCAAGGTCTCACAAAGTCTTATCTAAATAAGAATGATTTTCTGTTTCACTTTGTGATGTCTTTTTTCTGCGTATTTTTAGGACAATTTTAACAGAAATTCTCAAAAATTCTTCCACCACTGCAGCTTATGTCTATGTACATAAGCTGCTTTGGTCTCTTCTTCCTCCACTGCAATGTTTTTGTAAATGATGTTCAGTCGCTAATCTTAGAGCTTTGATCTATAACATTTTTTTTTCAGTTTGTCCCGATGTATTTTCTGTCTCCTATATCAGCAGATTGGTCAAAGCTTTGTCCATGTTCCTGCCCAAAGCCCAACCCCGTCTCACCTTTTCAATCACTTCCTATTTCAGCTTGACAGACCAATCGGATGGCAGTGTCACCAGGGGTATGCTGTTTAAAAGCAATGTGGACATCTGTCTTACACCTTTTCCTCTTTCCTCCTCTCAGCCTGTTTTAACTGAAGGACGGGACGACTGGAGGTAAGCAGTGAGAAATAATTTCAAATCTGTCCCCACTGCCAGACAGTCTGGCTGATTCTTATCCAGCACAGTCTGTGGCACGATGATTCATGTATGTCCAGTAAGCCTACAGCTCATTTCTATGAATACAGAAACAAAATTGCCTTTGGTATTGTATGCTGTCTTCTGCCTTGACGTCCAAGGCTACAGCAACCCACTGGTATTTTATACCAAGCAAGAGTTTGAAATGGCAGCTAAAAATGACATTAGAGAACTCTATTGACTTGGCATTGTAGCCTGAATTGTCACTGCAGACATGCATAGCTGAAGAAATAAGTCAAATGGAAAATGTTTCAATTTACTGAGGTGGAGGTTGAGGTTCCCTGCTGAATGTGTCAAAGTCTGAATAGAAATGGAAATGCAAAAATCTGAGAGTTTATAAGTTTTTGTGAATACGTGCAAGAACTTGGACTCAGGCTGGGTTTTTGAATATTGGCAAACTTATTAGGACATTTTCATCTGCAGAAATAATCAATTTCAACTTCATGTGTGAGTTCAAAAAAAATTAAAACACTTGCTAAGCATAATTACACAAAAACATAAAGTTATTTAGTTGTTAAATTGTTCTCTTTGTTGATCAAGTTAAGAGGTAGTTTATGATCTTGTGGATAAATCAAAACAGCAAATCTACAAACAAAACTCTGTGATTTAACAGAAACAGGAGAGATTGTCTCATCTTTCAAATATGGTCAAAAATACGTGTTCAAGTAGAAACATAGCTATAGCTTTCCATATTCCAAGCATGGTAATGTAACAATCTTTCCAGAAATGATAAACCAAATGTTACTGATAATAATGTCATACAGCCTCATTAAAAAACTGAGAGCATCATGTAGGCAATGAAGCAAGTTTTTTTTTTTTTGTAAACACATTCCACAGATCTGCAGCTTACTGATCCAATGTCCCTGTTTCAACTATTCATCAGTCTATCCATCATCTGCACCTGCTTACCCATGCAGGGTTGCTTGAGGGCAGCTGGTTCCCATCTGCCACAGTCAGAGAGAAAGAGGTGGGTTATCGAGCCTGGACAGGTTGCCAGTCGACCACAATGCAGATTACAACTACACTGAGAGAAGAAAATAAATTATGTTTTATTTTGTTTTTTGTGGGGTTTTAAAAAGAACACCAAACACTCCTGAATATTAGCATAACTAGTTTTCATCCTCAGTATCTGAGGGTAGCTTTTCTTGGGAAAGATTGTGTAGCTGCTGTCAGTACTTCTAGGTATTTCCAGGCTTTTATTAATGGCCCCAGGTATAGAGTGAAGGTGAGTGCTTCAAATATTTTTATTATAGGCAGACTGTAAAACACAATGTTTCTGTGTGCCATTCTGGATAACATACGAAACAGAATGATGTCTGTTCTTATAGCAGTGCAGCAACAGATTGTCTTCACACTTAAGTGTTAACAATTTCTCTTAACAATCAATTTGACTTAACTAATTTTAGGTTAAATTAGATTTACCTAACCTAAACAAAAAAAAAGTAAAATAATAATTAAAAACACTTATTTATCAGATTTTAAAATTATAGATGGTTCCACTTAAAAGCATATTTTTTGTGAGTGAAAGCTGCACAAAGTGTGAAAAGTGAACGTGTTTCTTTCAGAGACTGTGAAAAAAATCACAGAAAATTGCTTGAAGTCATCAGTTGCCAAAGTGTACAGGAAACCTCACATGAGATCCTAAACAAAATCTGGTACCGAAAAATAAAAACAGCAAAAGCAAAGCACTGGGGAGAAATCAGAAGAAACCAACACTTTAAGTGAAATGCATGCTTTGATTGAAATCTCAAGCAGTTTTGAGGACCCAATCAAACAAGTTGGACAAACAAAACTGAAAAATAAACACCATAAAAAGTGCAGTGTTGTGAGATTGTCCGGTTTAACGCAGACAAATCACCAGTTGTTTAATGCAGACACTCTTATTGCGCAGTTACAGGTCGTTTATGACAGACCGATTATACTCAGTCGCACGCTGACAACTGCAGCCCTCCCTGTGAATGTCTGTACACTTCCATCACAGGCGCTGCTATTACATCTCCTGCAGAGAGAGAATAGTGTTCCCGTAGTCAAAAGTGCACCCATCTATCATCTTCAGGTATTTCACATAATTGAAATACGTGTAAAAGAACAGAAAGATCCAAAAAGTTGAGGAGAGCCACATGAAACCACTTACGATTTTTTAACCATGTTAGGCATTTTCAGAGAGTAGTCTGTGAAAAAAACAACCTCCTTTGATTAAAAATAATGTTAAAATGAAGCATAACATCCTGACAAATTATCAGAATAATTTTGAACAGTTTGTGAAGTTTCCTAATTTGCTTTAAACAAATAATGTTCACAGAGGAATGAGTCCAAACCTAGTTTTACAAAACAAACATCAATCTATCAGTTATTCATGCTGTATCTACCAGCCTCCTGGTTTTTCCTCTCTTAACTGCATTTTTTCCTCTCAACACTGAGATAAACTTTCCAGGTGGAATACGGTATTCATATTTAAAATTTTAAGTCCCAGAATTTTTTTTTTCATATATATTTATATCCTCCCCCATATCCTCACCTTTAATCCTTTAAATATTCAAAGCCTCACTACTGACTGCTGCCACACACATGCATTTTTCTGCAATTGGTTTCTGAGGATCAAGAGAAAATTTAATATTAGCTTAGAGATTATAAACTTGCGAGGAGAAATGGGCATATTGCGAAATGGCCCTTACCATCAGTCAAAGAGACACTTGCACTGTCATTAAAGAGAAAAAAAAAAAAACTGACAAATTCCAGCTCTGTCTTGGAGTACGTCTCATTAAAATCCTCTTATCTTACTGAATGGTTTCGGTGGTGGTGCAGCAGCAGCATACATGATAATGACTTCTGTGACACTGCAGCCATTCTTGGCATATTATATTGCCTATTTGAAAAGTGATTTAAATAGTTTGAAGAATTAAACTTTTAATAGTTTCACGAGCCCCACATGGGTGTGGGGCTTTATTTCAATGGAGTGTTTTTAAAAACATGTAAAATTGGCAACAAATTTGCCTCTTTTGTTTTATTAAACAACACTTACTGTATATTTACAAATATATTTCCACAGTACATGTAAAATAGTACATCTCTAAGTGATCAATGTCTTTGGGTGCACCTGTACACGTATCCATTCCCCACAACGACAGCGAGGTTTCACATAAATGCACATTTACGACATTTCTTCAAGAGAAAAGAAGAGATGATTTCTCTACGAAGTCATCTATGCAGTTACAGGTCATTTTTGTTTAATGGTGGCTGTGGTCGTACTTCAACGAGGTGAAACTTCAAAAGCGTTATATTCAAAAATACAATCATGCAATTCCCTGAGAGGTTGGTAAAACTCTAAGCAGCAAGTCCAAGGACAGTGGCAAATAGGTAAGTTGCTATATATGCAGCACAGCTCCTTCACCTCAAAATTTCCTTGTTTAAGGGTTTCTTCTTAGATATTTTCTTTACAAAAAAAAAAAAAAAACTCCCTATGTTGGGCCTTTTTTGGTCATAAGCAGTCCCTGCACAGCGCCACCTGTCCTTTGCGATAGTCCCTGCAGGGGCAAAGGCGTTGGTATTTGGGACTCGAGCCAGCGCAGCTGAACAACAGTGGATCGTGCTGCAGACTGCATTCAGCGTGCTCTGCAGAGAAGGCAGGAAAGAGGTGGTTCATCTCGGATTCCACTCCTTCACACTGGAGATCCAACCTGGGCACAGAAGTTAAAAAATGAATGGAAATCCTTTAATATGTTTGACATTATTGCTGGCACAAACGCCTTAGGAGATCCATGATTATTTGACATGCATATTTATTATTTATGTTCCAGTGCTGCCCTTAGACGCTCTTAGGGAGATAGGAAAATATACCAGTCAAGTTGTGCTGAGAGGTTTATCCCAATTTTTCTTTTTTGTAGCCTGATTTTAAAACTAAGCATCCAAATGAGGCATGAAACCCTTTGAGGTGGATTGTTTTCAGTAAATCTGTGGCACGCAGTTTTGAAATGGATCCAATAATACATTTAAGTTTGCAGTAATGGGGCAGATCATGCTTTAAACATTAAGCGAACTTTTCCATTTCTGTGTCAGCTGCCTTGTTATTGCATGCTGTGTCTTGGTGAAGTTACATCTTGGATGACAAGTGCTGTAAAAAGTAACTTCATTTAATAATGTTTTTTTTCACTATCCAAATGAAAGGGAAAAGAAAAAACTCACGAGCTGAATGCTTCTTTGATGTTGATAAAACGGTGCAAGGCAGGTTCACAGATTAGTCCTTCACTCTGGCATGCTTCCACACATGACTGGCCAGGGAGCGATGTCAAAAGTCGAAGTGCAGTAAGAGGAGGCCATGATGGAAAGGAGCTGGTGTTGGCGGCCCAAGTTAGCATTCTGGAGTTTGGCAAAGACAGAAAGGGACCTGACAGCGAAGCCCAAGATGTGTTTACTGGAGGAAATGGAATCTCAGGCGAGCAAAAGTCCTGCAAAGGTAAAGATAAAAAAAAAAAAAATACAAACACATTGTATATTTTAGATTATTCATATGACTAGATATTTTTCATGTTTTGTCGCAGTGCAATGACAAACTTTAAAATATTTTCTTGAAATGTTGTGAAAAGAACCAACTGATCTGAAAGAATGGTTTTCAAAGTATTTTTGCTATAGAAATCAAAATGGTGTCCTGTAAAACTGACATTCAGGCCCATTTACTCTGATAGCCACAAATCAAATCGGTGACAACCACCATTGCCTTTATCCCTCCTGAGTCAGTACTTGTTTTGAAAAGCCTTTCCTTACATTACTGAAGTACTTTGGAAGATGTCTCTATAAAATTTTCACAGAGAGACGCTGAGATTTGTGGCTATTTCTGTTTGGAAAATAGCTTAAGCTCTTTTAGTTTTGATGTAGAACTTGTCTGAACATCAGTTGTTTCCAGGCACATAGTGTCATTTCATAGCACAAACAAGTAACTAGTTTCTGTATCTGAGGCCTTAGAATTGGCTTCGGACTCTTAAAAACCTCCTACTCTTTTTAATACCCCTTTCAGGAAGTCATCATAACAATGCTTCTTCATCCTGCCCATTGGTGGTGTTTACTACTAGATGAAGGCCTTTTTTTAAATCAAAATAACGTATTTTTGATGAGAGAATGGTAAAACATGACAAAAAAGTAGAATTTACCCAAGACTTTCCATGGATTTTCAAATGGATTCAGGTTTGGACTTCAACAGAACCATTCTAATATGATGCTACTCTACAGTATACATGAATGCAATTTGATCTAAGCTGTTCTATTGCAGGTATTTCTGCATGTTTAGCGTCATGCTGCCACTAGGGAATGTAGTTTTCTAACCTGATGCAGTTGGGTTAAACTGAGCTTCTCATACAACCTTTTTCACGAAAGCCTGCACCACAATAATAATTAGAGTCTCTATAATTTTTCTAATAATTGTGTTTTATTTGTAATTACAGTTTATGCACCGCTTTAAATGGTATCACAGAAAAAAGCGCTAATTGTATCCGACACATATCCGTAAACCTCAGCCAATTTGCATGGATGCAAAAATGTCGCAGAAAAACAAATAAGATGTTGAGGCAGAACTCGGTCGCGGTGAGTCACCAGATTACATTTCCCCCTCTAGCTGGGCCTATTAATAAAACCAAGGTAATAACATTTCTCTGACATGTCCCTCTGGCCTCTGGACCCGTTTATTAAACAAGCTCTCCGTGCCCACAGGCAATAACCAAGCTTCCAATCTCCCAATCTCTGCTGCACCTCCTCCCCTAAACACAGGCGACATCTTTGATCCCTCTTCTCTCGCACACACATGAAAAAGTAAAAGGTTAGGAAGGGTACCAACTTCAAAATGTCATTTCTACATGTAAGATCTGTATATGCTTTCAATTATGCTTATGTTTATGCTTTGTGAAGAGGTTTTATTCGTATTAAATGAGGTTCCTTTATGTGTCATATAAATGTAATGTTTTTTGAATCACAGTCAAGGTGTTTTTCTGTGCAGCTGGAAACGGTGTACAAACTAATGAACATGATGTGTCTACTGCAGTAAGTTTCCAGGGTTGCTGAACTTCCACAGACAGTTATTTGGGAACTCGCTGTTTTCCCGTGGCCTTCCCTGCATGGAGATAGAGTGTTTAGTTTTCACCTCCCATAGACATTACAGTGAATGAGCATACAAGGTTTCCTATGTTTTCTTTTGTTTCTTTTGTTTGGTCTTCGAAGATTGAGTCTCCGCCTCGGTAGTAGAGAGAGATGAATAAAGTAACTATGCAACTCTGAGTTCCTCAGAGCGGATCCTAATTTGTGCCTAATGCAGTATATTTCTTGCTCTCCGTCTGCAGATGTTTTAAAGATTGTTTTTGCTCCCTGACTTTTGTCTGGACCTCAGTCTCTGAATTGTGCACTTCACAGCTTCTAAATAAGCTTTTCACAAGCTTTGAAGTTTTAAAGTGGAAATCCTCTTTAATCTTCGGTTTTCAAGGTCACTCCTCTAAAAGATAAGTACAAAGATTTAAATCGGGAAACGTTGACCAGTTGTTAGTTATGTATTCAGACATTAATACTGGGATACCACAAAGCTTTGTCCTCAGTCCCAAACTTTTTCTATGTGAATGAGAGAAATATGGATTCATAGACTTTCACTTTCCTCCAAAGATTTTCCGGTTTAAATGTTAGAAATGTTGATTCTATCATCACCTAGTGGAAGTGAAGGGTATTACAGTGATTCTGATTGGAACCCCAGAGTCAAAGTCAGAGAAAAGAATCCAGTGAACAAGTCAGCTGCAATGGTAAAATATTACCAAAAAGAGAAACCACATAGCTCAATCAATGGAAACACTTTAAATTTATAAGATATCATTGACACACTAGATGCATTCATCACTGAATGAATGAACTTTATGGATAAATGGATCTAATAATAACGATTCTGGAGTTGTACAAATCCACTATTGTCTTCTTTATTAAATTCACTGTGCATGATTTTACGCAGCTCTACTCGATTTCTTAAGTGACATTTAATTAATCAGAGCAACACAAAAGACAATCAGGCACAAAACAAGCACAATGTCCCCTCTCAATCCTGCCCAAGTTAATTTATTATTATTCAGACAATTGTAAAATAGTTCCTTATCTTAAATGTCAGATTTAGCATAAAAAACCTCCAATGTCTTTAAGATGTCCCTCTATGTTTCAATGTAGGCATCACTGAGGTGCCGCAGGAATATGCAGTGTGATGGTAACAGTGGGTCTGCAGCTCTGCCGGTGAACGAGAGCGAGATAACAAGGACGACAGGTTCAGGCAAGGCAAAAGATGTGTGGATTATGATAAGTTGAGCCTAAAACCGGGAAAAATCCAAACATGGGAAAGATAAAGTGAAAAAAGTTGAACAAACACAGATGAGTCTGAATGGAAGTTTGCACCGGGGATGGGGGTCATGCTTTCAGTCAGTCATGGTCAGTGAGCCGGCGTATTGGTGTTCTTTTTGACACAGGGGGATGCCGACAATGCGTGACAGAGAAGCTAAGATATTTCCTTAACCGCGCACAACAAAGCACTTTCTAAACAACGGAAGCCTGATGTGGCTGGAAGAGATCAAGGTCTACAATGTAAGATGTGTGTAGGTTTTATAATGAATACCATCTAGACTAAAGAAGCAGAACACGGAGATACACCTTGTTCTAATAGCTGATGTTTGGATCAAAAAGAAAAAAAGAAAAAAACAGTAGACGTTCGGGCAGTGCTTTTTTTGTTTTTGTCTGTCATAATAAAGTTTTAAGAGAACACTGTGGGAAGTGACAATGCATATATTACTTTCAGCAAGCAACTTAAAAGAAAGCAACAGGCGACACGGGAAGAGAGAAGGAAAAGTGAGAACTAAAAGAGAAACTCCTCATTACAAAGAAATGTAGATCAGCAAACCAGTGGACACATGCCTGCATAAAAAGAGAAGGAACTGTGCAGATGTAAAAATACATAATTAATGACTTATTCTTCAAAATATTTCTTAGAGCACATGCTGTAATGAAATAACTCTTCACACAAACAGACTAAACATTAACCACCATCAACGACACGTTTTTCAGCACGAAAAAGAAGGATCTAAATATTCCAACCACCTGGCATCTATTTAAAGTTGATCCAACTATAATGGTCGATCAACATCAATAATTAGAGTTTCTATGTTTTTTCTATTCTTTCTTCTAACTTTATTTCCAACAGTTACAATGATTGTTTTAGAGGAGGACCTCATCCGCAGAGAGCAGGGGTATATGTGAAAATCTGTGAATGCGGGTACACAGCACAAGCCAGATAAGATTATCCAGTAAGTCACAGCCGAATGAACCAGGCTCTGAACATTTTTTAAAGGTCAAAGCGGTGGAAAGCACGGAAGTACAGCAAGTTAGGCAACAGAGCAGCAGCTAAGACGATTTGGTCTTTTTGTTATAAAGCACTGCAGTTGCAGCATTGTACATGTTCTGGTAAAAAGACAGATACTGTTTGTTGACCAGTTTTATCTGAGCACTGAGATTGGATAAATCTTCTACTATGTGTTTTGTTTTGTTTTTTTGCTTAACATTTAGACTCATCTTGAAATTATCAGTACAGTGTGTTGCTGTGTAATTGGCAGAATGTAAGCAGAAGACCAAATCAATTTCACTTTAGCTGTTTTCATCAAATTTGATTTGGGCAGATGATGTGATCATCAAAATGAATCAGATGTAAACAACAGAGACTCATAAATAATACATTGTTAATAAATGCTAGTCATTTTAAAGTAACAGTTCCTAAATTTAATGTTAAATGTAGGTTGCAAAAGCAATAAATTATACACAGATAACTAAACAGAGGCATTTATTTTGAGTTTAGTCTCATCATATTTGACATTCTAAATATTCACATGTTTTTATCATGAACACGTGAACAATAAAAGTTCAATTTAATCAATTTTTTAGTCTTACTGGAGGCATCACTTTATAATTATCTTTATTAAACCCATGTTTACCTTTGTGCTTTGCAATAAATAGAAACATTTATTGCAGACAGCTATCACTCGCAAAACTGGTTATTAGATTGATAAAAAAATTATAATAATTATCATCAGTGGCAGTCTCAATGGAAATTAAACTTGTTTGAAGAGTGTTGTTAAATTTAGTGCCCAGAAAAATCTACAATTGTTTTTGTGATATTGTAAATCTGGTCATTTTTTCTCGTAGAATATTTATTTTAATTAAAAAGATTTTTTTTTCTATTGAACCCTGAAAGGCAAGTGAGAAATAGAAAATAAAAATTAGAAGCATGTTGATGCTGTGCACTTGCAACCACATTTTAATTAATTGCACGTATTGTTTTTCGCTATTTTAAAACATCTTTTCATCTTAGGAACAAGAGAAAGTGGTTTCTGGATTCCAGCCTTTGATTTTCCTTTTCATCTTTCAAGGCTAATGGTTTGACTTCAATGCATTATGAGGAGGAAAGAAGTAGAAAAAAAACAACCAAATAGAAACACGTGCCTTTCAAGAACTGTTTCTATTTTTCATTTAATTTCAAGTCTGGTAAAACAGTTGGTAAATGTTGAATTTCCTTATATACAGAAGGAAAGAAGATATTTTAAAAGTGGACATATGTCTTACATTATATGAACAATAACTTATACTAAAACTGACAGAATTTTATGTTTTTGGTTTTCAACTTTAATCTACATCTATTGGTCTTTTTAAGGCCATTTCAGCAGCTCCCTCAGCCAAGATGTAATATATATGGTAATATATTAGTTATTATATAAAAGCAAGGGAAAGAGCGCCCATCTTCAACCTCTGCCAAAGCTTAATATCACAAAGAGAGCATTGGCAGAACATAAATCTGAATCAATGTCAAGTTTATAGGGGGCTTCCTGCATTCTCCACCTTCCTTCAAAGCACCGTTAAATCTGTTCTGGCAAGATTGAAAAACTTTACAGGTAAACAGGGATGCAAACAGACAAGCCTGCGATAGTAAAAAGCGAAAACGTTCATCTTGCCATCGACTTGTTGGCGCAACCACGACACTCCCCTCCGAAACAGCAGGCTGCTGATGCGAGTTCAAATGCCCACCTGATTCTGAATGTAGGCATGAACCCTTTCAAGCATTCCCTCGCAAGTGTACTCGTAGGGCAGGAATGGCTCCACCTGCAGACACAGAAGAAACAGAGGAAGTCAGTCTGAATGTGTAGAGCCCAGCCGTTGTAATTACAGGAACCAAGCATCTGATAGTTAATCCTAGCTGACATATTCATTAGCGTAATTGTAGAAGACTTATATCATGCCACAAGCTTCACATAAAAATCAATGACCTAATACATCAAAGGTGGCAGCCTTGAAAATTAATTTCATTATTATTTTTGGCGATGACTATGTCAATATATCATACGATGGACTGAGCTGACAGCAGACCAAAAGGTCATGGAGCACCACAGATGGTGGTGTAATGTGGGTCCTGCTGGAGCAGCTATCGTGGAGCACTTTGGAATCCTGTCACTTGCCTTCTGCGGTTTGATGACAGAAAATGGCGCGAAATTCCCTGAGAAGAGCTGGTCAATAGCCCTTAATGCTATTTCTAATATTTGATGCAAATGGAGACCACAGGAAGAAAAGATGCACTTGAGTGAGACCATTCACGATACAACAGTGTCTGTAGATGTCTGGAAATACCACCTTTTGAAGAGGGTGAGGAATGATGAAATAACCGGATAAACTCTGTTTTGAAAGGAGAGTTTGAGGTGGTTCCTCTCTTTGATGTCGTACTCACCGTTTACCATCAGACCACCAGTGCATTTCTCCATTTAAATTGATCGGTGGTTCTTTCTAGCACTCTGTTGCTCTTAGCCACGTCTTATTACATTATTTTATCCAAGTTAAATGAAATGAAGCTGGCACTTCATCAGTTGTTTTGCAATGCAATCTGCCTTTTGGGCATCTTGTTATAATGGAATGAGAGAAAAACAAATCATGCAGGGTGATTTGAATTTCTGTGGAGAGAACTCAGAGACATGTACAGTAGATGAAATGTTAATCTGACCTACTTTTGATGTGGCAGGTTTTACTCTGTGTGCAACTTTTGTAGCAGTTTATTTTTTATGAAGAGAGATGGGAAATTCATAAATCTAGAAAAAAAATGCTTTTCCCAAAAGAAAGGCCATTTTGAATGACATTATATGGTACCCTACAAAATGTGGAGGAAAATACCAACACAACCGTCATACCTCTCAGAAAAGATGGTGTTTTAATTACATGTTTGCTGGTTTTTCTCCAATTTTATAACCAAACACTTGAATCAGTTTCTTCAGATAAAAGGAAAGGCCTCAAAAGATTAAAGCTTTTTATCTGAATGCACTTGCTGTTGCAATGTTGCTGTTGCAATGTGTTGTTTTTATTTCAATTATGGAGCAACATCTTCGTCAACTCTGAGTGCATTCTAGTGCATAAATTGTTTCTTTGTAGATAAAACTTTCTTTGCAGCTTGAATCATGTCCTTTGCTTTTATTGTGGAGTTGATACCAAATTTTTGAGACTACCAAGTGAGCGTTACATGTTCAACACTGAAAATACAGTTCAATATTGAATTAGATGTTTTTATTTAACGTTCGGATGTTAAATTGCATTTGCAAAGTAAACCTAGCTTTGCTTTGCATACTGTAAGCAGGTAACACAAACCATCCGTCATCACATCAATTACCACGTCGGCACAAATGAAAAATGTCACCAAGTGGACCAGTTGCTTGGCAACAGAGGCTGCAGGAACTTCTCCCGTTGCTGCAAGTCAATAAACAGTCCAACACAAGGCCCCTGGAGAAATATGAAAGTTTGGCTTTCGTTGGACAGATGACAAGACGTGATAATTGATGAGACAGCTTCAAAAGTCTTTGTGGGCAGATTTTGTGATTGAGCCAGGAAAGTTTTTCTTGGATTGTTGATTTAAGATGAAACTGACCAGCTGCTTGCAAACATTCATACTGGGCGAATAAAAAATAAAAAAATATTTGATTTTTTGTGAATTTATCACTGCTCTGTCATTAGTCATCTCGCATGTTGAGCGTTGCATATTCTTCCCCTTGGATCAGCACTTCAAGCATCTAACAGGGCAACGACTTGTACTTTGTTTTGCCTCTATCAGCAGGAAACACCTGGTTGGTAGAAGTGCAGATGCATCTCTGCACCACGAGAGGTTTGGCAGTGACTCTGGGTTGTTCTGGTGACAGATTGAGAACAGCGTGATTGATTCATTCGATGCAAAGCAAACAACGCTTGCTGCCTGTAGGGCTGGCCTCCAGAAAGCTGCTGTGTAAAGCCAGGTGTGGGCACAGTTTACCAGCAGAGCCACTCGATATCTCAGGCAATTAGAAGCAACGTGAGCTGAGAGGAAGCCAGCTAAGCAATTCTGCTGTAATGTCAGATGCCAAGATTAAGAGCTTTTATTAACGGCTGCAGGGTTTAAAAAGTGGGTCAACGCAAGCTGAAGGAGTTCATTATATCGTCACCTATGTGTAATATGCAGCCGTGTGCACCTTTGTTTACCGTTGATAGTACAAAAGCTTTATTTTGATGGATAAGTGAAGGTTTGGGTAGAAAACAGAACCAATTAACATACATTGATCTTCATGATCTCACGGATGGTGGCGTCAAACACTTCAGAGTTGTTGAAGTCGATGGTGATGACATGTGGCCTGCCGATATACTCCTCTGCGTAGGGATGCTGAGAGGACACCTGGGAGAGAAATAAATGGGAATTTTTATGAAAAAAAAAGTCAACTGCAGTTTAATTAAAGTTAAAACAAAGTGTTCTCAGTGGATTTTCATATTTACTTTTTGTCTTAATAGATCCCCAGATTTCAGTGTGTCTTATTGGGATTTTGTGTGCTATCCCAAAACTGCAAAGTGCAAGAATAAGTATACATGATAATATCTGTAGGGAATAAATTATCATTTTGTATTCATTTCCCATGTGTCAATTTGTTCAGTACTCCAAGTACAGCAAACATGTTTTTAGGGTATGTTTCTGACACTTTTTTTTTCCATTTACTTTTTGAAAAATAGCTTATTGTCAGTCGAGCTTTAGAGCAGCATCACTAAACCTCAATTTCAAAGTCTTGCTAAAGATTATCCAGAGACTGGACTTTGACTAGTCCACTCTAATACATAAGTATTCTTTGAAGTCTTTGTCTCCTTTTATTGTCCTGTTTTAACAAGTTACACATCATCTAACAGGATTGCAATGCATTTAGTGTCATATATCTTCCCATCAACTCAGTATTCCTGCCTCTACAGTCTCCTCACAGTATGATGCTGCCACCACCATGTTTTATGGGAATTGTGTCCTGGTGCAGATGTTCAGTTAATTTTCTGTCACACATACATGTTCTTTTTGGACCCTATATGGAAAAAAGGACTGCTGAGTGCTTTCTTTCAATAATATTTTGTTTTCTTGCCACTTTTGTTTGAAAGACAGATTCGTGGAAATGCATGATTAATAGTTGTACTGTCTATGTTATTAATTAAGTGAGTTTTCAAGCAATTAGAAACTATCAGTCGAAAGGAGATGTTGAAGTTGAGAGATGTTGAACACAAATCTCTCAGAATGGTATTCAGAAAAATGTTCAGAACTGTTCTTTCCCTTTCCAAAGGCATTTCTACTTTTACTTAAATTCCCAGCAGAGTAAATTGAGTTTTGAGGTTGTGATCTCATGAAATGTGAAGTGAACTAAGAGGTATGAATATTTTTGCATATGTAAATAAGCAGGCATAGTAAGTACGTACACCATCTTTCTGTTTCCTATGTATCAGGATTTTCCTTTTGGCAGTTTGCTACTCTGGATCACGATGCCAAGGAAAATAAACAGTAATTATTGTGGGGAAAAAATAACTCTTGCTGCCCATTAGCCTGGAAAAGTGATTTGTACGACTTATTTAAGAATTAATCTGGAGTTCAGTGAGTGGAGAAAACACTCAAGTCAGCTGCAAAAGATCCTCACACTGAATATCTGACCAAGTTTCCCTCCAAGGTCACACTGTGTGAAGCTGAACAACATTGCAAAAGACTAATGTCCGTGGGTGAGACCAGGATTTCTATCTGTTTTTTATTTTTTAACAGAGATACGTGTGGGAGTTTCGATCAAATGTGCCCCTGAAAAATCTGACGGGATTTCCATTTAACTCAGCCTTTTGAATGTATTGCACTTTTTTCACCGTTTTTTCAAATTTTTTTTTTTTTTTTTTTTACAAATTCAAACAACAGATATAAACATAAGAAGCAGCAAAACCTAAATTGTACATGGTAGATGTATATATTGTTGTTGAATACTGTATATGCATTTATTGCTCTACACACAATTATTGCACATGGAGTTTTATAATGAAAATCATCTGTCATTTCGTGGCAAGTTACATTATGTGAACAAACTCACCAGTTACAGGAAATAAAGCTCAGAGAATAAGTCAGCCTAAATGTGGGCGGGTTTAAATTATGGATACCTTCCCTTGCAAAATATGCTAATTTTGTGATATACAATTATATTAAAAAAATTGCTTTCTGTAGAAGGGACATCACATTTATATTTAAAAAATAGATAGTAACAGTATACGACATAAAGCAGGATAACAAATAAAATGAAATAAGAATGTGGGAATATGTATTGTATTTACAAGGGTATGGCAGAAAATTTCTATCATCCAAAATCAGCCCAGTGCATTCCAAGAGGACTATGTGACCTAGCTGCATACAAGTTGTGATGCAAATTGTACAGGCTACAAAGGCTGCAGTTCATAAGGTTGTCTTTTGGTGCAGTTGAAGAGGCGTAGGTAGTTGGAGGATGGGGAGACAGGAGGAGCTGGAAGAACTGTCAAGGAAACGCAAGAGGAGAAAGAAGAAGTGATATCCCTGACATGTGAATAAAGTAGCCCACAGTTGCACGAATCACTTTGCTCTGAATGCAGAGTGCTGGCAGAGTATTACTTTTTAAACATAAAAAAAGTTATTAGCTAAAGTGCAAACTGCAGATATATATTTTTGATAAAAGATTATAATCCAAAGAGGAATTTCTTCTTATTTACTTTGCATTGAATAGTAAGCCATTGTTAAGGCAAAGATGAGTTTGCAAAGAAGGTCAATGTGACATTTTATATCGCACAATTCTTGCACCGAGCTGTGCCTTTATGATGAAAAACGACGTGATGGGGGGCTTGTGCCCCAGAAGGGCTCTATTTCTAGCAATGCTCCCACCCTGGAGCGACATCTCAGAGTCTACAGGCCCCGGTTAGCATGATAAATGTTAAAGTTTATGACAGTTTAATTAGAAAAAAAAGAGACTGAACAAGTATGGCTTGCTTCGGAGGGCTGTCAGCAGAGATGAGTTTCTTCTCCATATAAAAGACTGTGGCAACATGTCTTACATTTGCAAAGTGAGATCTTGACTAACCACCAATAACATCTTGTAGAGTGATTTCCTTTGGACAGATGACACCAAAAAGCAGATGTGTGTTTTTATGCACAACCCAATTTTGCTGAAGACTAAACACAGCCCATCGGCTCATGCAATCCTTCACATGTGGCGGTGGAGAATTAATGATTTGGGTTTGTTTATTACAGTTTAGTTCAAGTCAGTAATGCCTTGTTAGCCCCTCATAAAAGTAGATGTTATAATAACTTATGCATTGAAAGAGTTATTTTATATGCTATGTGTTATTATAGAAGGTTCTCCAATGGTGGGCTGTTTGCAGTGACTGATTAAACATCAGCTTATAGATATTTGATTGTTAGACTATTGTGCTGTAAAAAGAATGCGCCAGTTTCCATCATGGATTTTAGTTTATTAGACTTCTTTCTAATCACAATCAGCTCTAGACTCCAAAGCCAAACCCAGAATATAATTGGCTCTGATACCAAGACCTTCTGACAGCAGAAGAGATTTCACTGTTTAACTGAGAAATTATAGAACATGATCCTCAAAATGATTCCCGATTTTTTCAGATGACGGATTTAAGACAACGGGTGTAAAACAGCATCCTCAACTCCAGCTTTAAAACACATGGCCGCAAAAACAGCAAATGACAGATGAATGAATGAGCTCCTTTAGGAGCTGTAACAAGGCAGGAGGTCTCAAAAGCACCGGCACATTTTATTCTAGTTGGAGATCTATTGTAGAATTCAACATAATCTGTTTACTTCCACTGGAGCTGAAGTGCGTTCAAATGACCGCTGGAGACAGATGAGAGAGGTAGGCAAAGGGGCACAGGCATTTCATGACTGAAGACAACATTGAGCGGTACAAAATTACACGACTGAGATTGAGAATCAAATAATTGAGGTGTGACAGCTGTGGGCCAAGGGACGGTGAGGGGCTAGGCAAGGTGCATGAGAAGAGGATTCTGAACTTTTTCCTGAAATGAGCCGAAGAGAAAAATATATTCAGTTTAGTCCTGGCTTCCACTGATCAAACCCTCATTTTCGTCCTCCTTGAGCACGCATCTGGAATAAGGTTCAGGTCCTGGATCTCCAGTGGGTCGCTGGAGATCCAGGTGTTATTGTTGAAGGAATTGTGTTGGTGTCAAGTAATCACTCGTGGGATTTCCCTCATGTCTAGTTGAGTTCATCCCTGTCTGTGACTGGGACACATCTCCAGATACTTTCTTTAGCTTCCTCTGATCATCTCCTCATGGATTTTTAAATTTTTTTCCCCCCACTCAACAATGGGTTTAAACACATATCAAATGAAGACCAATCTCTGATCTCCCTTGCTTGGAGCAGATCATGCAGAGGGGCCCAATGTATCCCTGACATTTACAAAATGGATTCAATATTTTAGTTTCAATATTTTAGGAGAGAGATGTGATTCCAACCTTCAAACATGAAATAAAGAAATGGAACTGGGACTATAAATCTGAACCAGGTGATGATGGAATGTAGATTAGCATGGCTTTGATTATATACCGTAATCCCGGTGCTTTTTCACCACCTTTAGTTTTTGGGGGTCCTTTTTAAATCTCTGTCCATCTACGTCATCTTGAAAACTAAGCAGAAAGCCGCTGGAATGAGGAATATAATCCTAAATCCAGTGTTCAGTTGAAAATGTTGCTTTAACTTAAGTGTTTTCTAGTAATTAATCTACAACACCCTGTCAGTAAACAAAACCTGTCAAGATGCTGCAAGATGGTTCAGTCAATATGATGTACAATGTTTTTGGCAGCATGTACAGAGAAGATTGCATAAACAAATGCTCACACAATTTTTTTGAATTGAGGAAATTTTATGTTTAAAATCCTGCAGAGAGAACAACAAGGTGATACTGAAATCTTGTTTTTTTTTTTCCTGTGACTTGTAATGCGTCAGAGTTTTGTTAATTTTTTGTGAAACTTACTGACTGAAATGAGAAGTGTGAATAGAGCTCATTTTTAATTATCATGTCTTGCTATGTAAAACTCTGGAATTGAAAAAGATTGAATTTACTTCTTATTGCTGCAGTAGCGTGAATACAACATGCACCTACCTTTCTGGAGGTAGGCTTGCCTCTGAAGAACTCGTGATTGAGAGAGCTGTGAGGTGGATCAAACTTGGGTTGCAGAAAAATGCAGCCATTGGCTATGGCTTCTAAAGGAGCGGGCCCTTCATATGGGAAGCCAAACCCGATGAATAGCTTGCAAGGAAAGCGACAAACAAAATATTTCCTGTGAATACATCAGGCTGCTCACATCTGGGCCATTTGCTGAGGCAAGTCCACGCATGCACAACTACAAGCAAGGAAAGCCATTTTAAGGAATAAACTGAGCTGATACAACTATTAGTAGTTCACCCTCACCTTTGCTTTTCTGAGGAGCTGCTGTAGCTCCTGCTGAGGCAGTAGGCCATGATTCTTGACAAAGGCAGGAACCTCTGGGGGGCGCTGCGTCTCATAGTACACTGTGCCATGGATCTCCATGTAGCGATGCAGGATTGTCAGGAAGTTTTCCTTACCCTCAAAGTTAGAGAATAAAGAGAGTGACTCTGTCAGTTACTGCTAGGATGCTTGAGTGAATATGAAAGTCTCATTTTAGCATAATTAGCTACATTTTCAGTATTGCTTTAGCTTTAAAAAGCCCAAAGACAGATTTGTCTTAGATTAGGAAGAGATTTTTTTTTCTTCTTTCCCACAAAGTTTTGCCAACTCTGGTGACACTTTGAATTTGTAGGGATCCTTGTTGCAACTCAGTGCATCTAATACTTTACATTACACAGCTTTATGTTGGTTCCACTTGGCAGGAAAAAAATGTCAAAACATTAATGGATGTTTGAAGTTTCCTTTTCTGTGAAAAAAAAAAAAAACAGAAACTGCAAAATTGAATTTCTTTGTACAGTATTTTGAAGTGGGTAAATTATTAGAGTTGCAGCAGTGTTTTATTTAAAGACACTGAACTTATTTGATATCCATAAAGCCTTCAATAAACCAAATGTTTTGTTAACATAAGACTTTACTTTAATGAAGGAATAGGTGCATTCTCATAACGTCAGCGATATTGATCAATTTCAACTTTCAACTTTGTTTCTTTGAACTGGTTGCTGCAGCTCAAGTCGTTTTTAAAGAAGATTTAAGAATGTTCTTTTTGCTATGGTGACTTCTGAACTGTAAATTTGTTCTTTTGCAGCAATGTCTGTTCTGTGACTGTATGAATGAGCAGGATGAATATGAGAAGCACAAGCAGTCGCTTGAAAAGGGTAATGGAGAAAAAGCCTGAAGGTGTTGGTGTCTAACTCAGTGTTTGTGGAGTTTGACAAAAATATTCTTTAGCAATGTTTACACCTACTGTTATGTGGTTGAGCTTAGTTGAACCATTTTACTGGGAAAAAAATGTTTTTGTTGAAAGGCTGCAAATTATTTAATAAGCTTTGTCTCAGAGGCTTGAATCATTTAGCAAGCCGCTGAAGTATTTCCACATTTTTATGCAAAAGAAGAGAATAATAACAAAAACACAGTTTATTTTCTTGCTCTATTTCCTCATCCTAAGAAGCATGCATGCAGTCACCATGGGCATGGATGTCACATTAATTATGGAGTTTTATTGATACATTTGAATTGTTCTTTTCCCAGTGAGTGATAATCATCTAAATAACAACTGCAATTATTCAAAAAACAATAATTGGCTACACAAGTCTGAATTTGTGACAGATGTTCGATAAGAAGAAGAATTCAGCGCTCTGCTATAAAGCCTCAAGTCAACAGACAATTGAGACACAATTGAGCGTTTCAACAGGATAATGATCCCGAACACACATCACAACTGGTTTTGGAATGGACTAAGCAGTTTAACATCGAGCTTTCGGACTGGACACAACATACCCTATTAAAAATAAGTGAATTAAGCTGAACGGCAGGGTCCATGCCAACCTGATTAAAGAGATTTAATGTTCCTGGAAAGAAGAAGTGGATAAAAAAAGCCCTGATTATACCAAACTCTTACTCATTACCTCAAAATCTGAGAACTCTCCCCTTCATAAGGTGGGACATTTATCCAGATACATGCATTTGGATAGCTAAATAATCATTGAGTGATTTTTTTTCCCCATTGTAAAATAATAATAATAATAAAAACGACAATATGTGCTCAACGGAATATGCCCACTTCTTGATTTTTTTTTTTGCAGTAACTGAATATATGGTAATATCACCATAAAGAAGAAAAGGTGCAAAGTTAAAAACCTAAAATGAATACGACATCTATGCCCACCATCAATAAATTACTAGAACTAAAATCTTGTTTACAAACTTTGACTTACATTTATGGTGATTCCTACTTAGTTTTTTTTTCCTGTCGTATCTGTAAGTTACACTCTGGGTTTGACTTTCAGCATTTGTAGGATCAATAACCAAGCTGCAGTACTTACTTGAAGCTACGCAGGTCCATCAATGATGCATCCAGCATGGCACACAAAGAGAAGCACAAATTGAAAACGGGGGGGAGGACGGAAGAGAAGTGAACAAAAAAAACAAACAAAAAAAAAACAGGGAAATTAGGAGAAAAAAGTGAAATATTCAGCACTGATCCCTGTGTCGTCATCAACAAGCCTTAGATCTCTAACGTGGCCCTAAAAACTGATGTGGCGCAAGGAAATCTCAGGGAGAAGTGTTTAGCACTGCAAACCCTCATATTCACCTATATTACACCGCTGCTCAAACTGCTCTGAGGTAGAAGGAAGTCTTTGGCAGTGTAGGAACAAAGCTGCCGCCGGTTTCAAGCAACAAAAAAAAAAACCCCGAGGGAGGCAGCAGTGCACTTCGAAGTTACAGCAAGAGTGAGAAACCCTAAGCTTGGAGCGAGAGTTTACTCTAAACAAGTGGAAGTGTTATTCTAGCATCACACTTCAGATGATTCTTGGAAGAGGAACATGTTTGCAGGGGATGCAGGGAATGTAAAATCTTGTGGGTGTTTCACAGGCACACGAATCAAATCCTGCAGACATTATTTATCACAAACAACACACCTATCAGACCTGTGCTACAATAACTACACCATGGAAGCGCACAGTCTCTTGCTAAATTTGTTTCCTTTTTCACATTATCACATTTTTTAACCATTAACCTTTTATCTAACAGACCGCCACAAAGTAGAGCATGACTGTGAAGCAAGAAAAATAATATGCAGTTGTAAATGTTTAAAACTCTGAATCTCGTGCTGTGCATTTGTATTTAGCTAATAGTGCAGTTTTAACCTGACAAAAGGTCAACAAGGTCAAACTTGCTGACCTTTTGACTCACTGTAAGTACTGCGTGTTAAAAGTTATAAAAATTGCTAATGTTTCCAAAAGTTGCAATCGTGCTTACCTTCCACATGCTAGCGTCTTTGCCATACACAACGGCCATGTTGTTGACTTTGTTCCTCTGAATAAGCATCCTCTCGGTCTCATTCAGCTCCTCTGCCACAAACCCCATAAAAGAGTTGTCTGGCGTGTGGGCTGCCAAGGACAAACACAGTAATTGCTAATACATGGCTTCAAACACATTTTATGTCTAAGTTAATACAAATGTTCTCATAATTTAGCATTAAATAAAAGACACGGCACCAACATTTCATAGAGCAGAAGGTCATTATGTCTTTTGATTAGTTTTATTGAATAATACTCTAGGATCGAAAGCGGAGGAGCATAATGGTTGTTTACAGTTTTATGTCTCCATGTTCTGAAATTCAGCAGATCGAGGCTTCAATCTGTCACAGATTTTAGGCTTCAGACAAGTAAACAACCCAAAATTATAGCAAACAGCAAACTGAAATTTCTCTGACAATCTCGCCGATAACTATAATTTGGAAACGGGGTTGCAGCTTGTGGTCCCTGGATTAATCGGAGACCACCTGAAGTTTTACATCCCAGAAGTTTCACTGAATCCATCATGCATGTGTGCGTGTGTGTGTGTGTGTGTGTGTGTGTGTCTTTGGTGTATGTTCCTGTGTGACTGCGGCCAGAAGAAGTATGCTAGGCATCTGTGCCGGCCCAGCTGTTCTGAGTGAACCGTCTGCCTGGTGGTCCGAAGCTTGAACTGTGACGGCCTGAGGCGGTTTACACTCACACAATCTGCTCTACACACTGCAACACAAACATCTGTTCACTTCTACTTATCTGAACAACTTTTTTTGATTTAGGATCTTCAGTAAAAAAAAAAAAATGAAAGCAGATATTTACTGACAACCGATAGGAGATCTTCTGCATATCAGCAGCAGGCACGAGAGATGAAATTGGCTTGAACATACGGAACATGGTCATGTACTGCTGGCCGTGGAGGTTCCAGTAGCCCCAGTTGGTCCTGTAGCCGTGAAGAGTGGCATACTCCTCATGGTTGTAAGCAGGCTCTGTGCCGAAGGTGTCAATCACTCGGATGTGGCATCTGAGATTTAACAAGAAAGAAAAAAAGAAAGTTTTGTCGTTTATTGAAATTGGTTCCACAAATGAGTCACTAAAAGGTAATATTCTGAAGACTGTTTTTTTCCCCAAATATAATAATGTTGCACGTTTCCTCAGAAGAAGTCAAATTTATTAGAAATCTGTGTGTAGTATAAGGCTAAAGGTAGGACTGTTCCTCTCAACACAGCAGCACAAAATGTGGTTATTTTTCAAAAGACAGAACTTTGGATAATCCGTAAGGTTTCTCTACACCTGTTAACTCTCTATCTGTGGAAATCATTTAATGAAGAAGGTCAAAATCAGCAGGTGATCTAATCTGTGAAGACTCATCACAGCTCTTTTCGTGGACACCTAAGCTAGGCTGGTTTACCGCCTAACTTCAGGCTGGAGTTTATTACAAGCAGTGGAGAATTTAGTGGAGAATAGCTGTAGTTAATGTAAAATTTAAGTACTAGCTGTTATTTTGATGGCAGCCAGTGGGAAATGGAGGCACACTTTCTCACACTCAATTTTCTCTATTAATGTTCGTGCAATTAGTTGACCATTTTTGTGCATTTTAGCTCATTTTCTTATTTCTCTTTTCAGAAATAGCTTCATCCAAAGTAGAAGTAAAACACTTGTATATTGTTTCAATATTTCAAAATAAAAAAACTTGCAAATGTTATTCTTGAAACAACATTTCAGTGATTGAGATGTTGTTTCTCCTTGAAAATGAAGGAAAACAAATATCTTTGATGAGAAGAATTTGAATAACCTGAGTGAAAAACACACAAGTAACTTTGCAGAGGACAATATTTAACTAAGTTAATTTAAGCATTTATTTCAGATAGAACCAAAAATGGATAATTTTAGCATGTTGGAATTAGCAGTTCATCTGTGTAACCATAAAAACTAATAGATTACACAAACATTTTTTTGCAGCCCTAATTTATTGCTTGCAGGAGATACAGTGCAAATAAGCTGTGGGATAAATAGCAGCTTGTGTACAAACGCAACAAGTGGGAATACAACAGATGTGAAAAGGAAGGAGAAAAAAGGCTGGGTTACGAATCCAAGACAATGATATATTTGCTGAACGGCTTCATGGCGTGAATTTAGCACAAGAAGTAAGGAAATGTTTGTGTGGCCCATTATTTCTCTGCATCTCTGAGGAAAGAGCTTGCTCCTAGAGAGTGACTGTATGGGGTTTCTACAGGTTGCAGAACCTCTTCTCCATGTTTCCAACAGCAACAAGCATTTTTTCTTTTCAGAAAAAGAAGGTGCTGCGTGATACTGCGAGAAAAGCTGCTCGGCATTGGTTTGATTCGGTAAGTTTTTCGATCCACAAATTCATTTCCCTTACAAATGTGGCACAATTTAAGGAGAAACATTATGTACGAGATTAAATACCACAAAGAACCGCTTTAACAATCAAGTACTTCAGACAACGTAAGGAGAACTAGTAAACTTATTTCAATATGTTTAGGTAGTTAGCTATGAAGATACGTTGATTATAACATGGCTGAACTGTAGTTACAACTTCTTGTTAAATATGACCTGGCACAACACTTCTCTCAGTTATGGTTGTGTTTCTGTGTCAGAATGGTGTTTCAAAGCTTTCTCAGGTCAGCACAAATGCAACTGAAATGTAACAGATTGGTGTTGTGCTGATACTTTTTATGAGCTAAATTATTTATAAGCAAACGAGCTTCCATCTGTTTTTCCTTCATTTCTGCAGTGAGATATACTTAAGAATATTTTAATAAGTAATGAATCTGACAGCTACTTTGGCATAAAAATAGTAGACATTGATAAATGTGATTAACTTAACTGTATATAGCGTATGTGTTGTGGTAAATAAAGTAGGTACAATTTCTCTGTAGCACATTCTCCAACGCAGTTACAGCTTGGGTCATTGGGTTCCCTCAATGATCCAAATATTTACCCATCGTCTGGTTTCAACAGACCCCTGAATATAGATGTTTCCTTAGATTTGATACTTTAACCTAAAAATACGTCACTCAAGCTATCAGAGACCAAAATTAAGCTGATTAACAAGCAAGTGAGACAGTTTCTTTGAAGAGCGCGCAGAAGAGCAAAGAAAAAAAATTGACTGACTTGTGCTTCCTGAGTGAAAGACCCATGTGCTGCTTCATTTGCTGCAGTCCGTGGTAGTCTGTGTAGATGAGGTCAAAGGGTAAAGGTCCCGTGAGGGGGCAGCTTCCTCTTCCAGGTGGGACCCCCAGAAACCTGCACAGAGGTCACATGTCGTGTAAGTGTGATGAAGTTAAACAGTGCATGGCCTTTTAGAGAATATCTGCTTTTTACGCCCGGATCGTCAATCTACCGAAAATATTTTTTAGCTTTCATCTTCAGCAAAAAGAAAGTGTCAAAAATTATATTTATTAAAATAAATATATTTCAAAGTTTTAAATGGTAAAGCTAAGGAACTGTCAGGCAGTAATGAGGGATTAGTAGAGTATTCAATAGGCAGACAGGAATACCCACGATGGATGAAATCAAACCAGCGAAGCCCGTCAAATGATCCAAAATACCGCGGAACAATTTCTTTCAAAGAGGGTTCTCCTGGTTTTTTATGCAACTTTTCACAATTACACACAAAATATATGGATTATGTAAACCTCGCACTCATGTTTTCTGAGTGAAGTTTGCACGATCAAAGGACAAACTGTTTTCCAGAATATTTTTTGCAGAATCTGCTAAATGCTGGCTTTAGATGTAGAAAGATTGCTCTTCCTCTTGCCTATGCTAATTAGTCTTTATATGCAAATGTATGTAAACATTTGCATAAGTCTGCTATATCTCACCGCTTAAAACATTCTCTTCCTGTTTTCTGAAAGAAACCTCAAACAGTCAAACAAAAGGCTTTGATTTTTCCTTTTAAACTGCAACAACAGTGAACAGAAATTTGCTTGCATTGCAACAGAGTATTTGGGAGAGCAGAAAACCAGAGGTAAGACTGATGAGAACATACAGTCAAAAGGACACCTCATTAAATATTCACTTATTTCTCTGGAAAAGAAAGATAATCAATTGTAGTGAAACAATAATCAATCTCGATCATTCAGGAAACAAAAAGAGAACAATGAACAAGATTAATTTTTTTCTAGAAAAGTTAGAACCATACAGTCTGATAGTTAGTCCTGCTCATTTTATTTCAATTAACTTCATTAAGAGTTGATTTGTTTCCTCAATTCTCTGATAGCAGTCAATGTAAAATCCGATGAAAATTGGTATATTCAGAAATATACAATTCTTTTGAATTGAATTAGATTTTTTTTTTTTAAACTTGGTGTATTTGTCATCATTTCATTACAGATTTTTTTCTGTCTTGCTGTCTGGCAGGTTGTTTGATGACAAATGTAGCTCCAAACATTTTGATTCAGTAACAAAGTAGAAAAGATATCATCAAGTCCAAGAAAAAGAATATAAACCCACATTAAACATTACATTAAGCCTTAAATCATAAAAATGTTGAGTTAAAATAAATAGAAGTCATCAGCATAAATTAACACTATACTATGATATACATATACATTTGCAAAACAGTCATGTACAGCTTTATAGCTTTCCTTTTTCCATGATGGGTAACTTGTGTTTTGTGTGGCATCTATTGAGAAACTGACAAATGATGGGCTTTGAGTTGTAATTTTTTCTAGTTCTCAGAAAACTGCTTCATCACAGCAAACAAAACCACTAAGGGAATGTTAGAATGTTCCAAAAAATCTCTATATATAGATATATTTATTTATAAGAATGAATTCAAGATATAAGATCCGTATTCTTGTCACAGCTCTGTGTGGGTCCTGGTCCTGACTCTAAATGTGGATGTTTTGTTTCACTGCTTTATGCCGAAGATAAAAACTGAACACAAACCCTTTCTCTGTCTCCCAAAATCAAATTATATCAGTCTTATCATCATTTGGTTGAAAGAGGCATAACACAGTTGTTTACCTTTTGAGATTAAGTTTGTTAAGCAACAGATGGGAATGGATCCGGGTGTCTGAGCTGCACAGTTCTGATAAGAAAACCTGGAGTTTCAGTTCAAACAGACATATTTTATAAAAAATTGAATTATAAGACAGTGGTGCAGGTGAAACATGCATTTCTATTAGAAATAGCTCTGTGCATATTGGCAAGACTCTGCAGGACTTAAAAATGGGAGAACTCCACAGGGAGACAAGAGAAGTCCCTAAAACGCGTCAATGTGTGCCATCACAGTTTTTCAGAAATGTAATACCGATACTGACAGCATATCCTCTCCCTATCAAGTGCCATCTGATTTGCATAATGACTGTTCCTGGGAGCTTCAAGCATTGCAGTCCAACAATGCGCAGACTGCGAGACATCCCGTCGTTATTCAGTTCAATATCGTGTATCAAGCTGAATGTAAAACTCAACAAATGATTTTGCAGATCTGTGAGCGGCGAACGCAGAGGAGGATGAGCAGAGGGACCAATGCGCACCAACACGCATGCATGGCCAGGCCAGCTGTTTGTAACAGAAACACAGTGAGGGCGTCTTTAAATAGGACACTCGGTGCCAGTCAGAAGGCTACATGCAGTCATCATCAGCGTGAATGTTGTCCATTTATTTAAACTGGTTTTTTGCCAAGAAAACACGCCTCTTCTAGGATTCTAAAAAAATGAACTGAATGGAGGGCATACGTCTAAATTTGTTGTGAAATTTTCCATTTCTGGATTTGTAAACCTTTAAGAAGGTTTACTGGAACAGAGACAACTTCGAAAGGACTTCAAAAAAATTCCATTAGGGTCGATGTTGAGTAACTTAAAGTAATCCTCCTTCTGCAAAGTGCAAGAGCAGTCTCCTTGTGTGCTCAGGATCATTTTTTTCTTTGCAACATCCACATGGGTTTGGGTTTCAGTCATCTGACCCAAATGAAAGAAAAGTGGTTCTAATGAACAATCCAGAAACTATTTATAACTTAAGGCCACCATATAACCTATGTAATGCATTGCCACCGTTTACAGTAGAACAAATTTAAGAGCACATGCAAAACAGATTTCCAAGCAAAGAAAAAGCTTTAGTTGATACCAGTCAGGAATAATAAACCTCTTTAAATAAACCACAGTCGGACCAAAGAGTGCATGATGTGCAATAATCAGTAAGTGTAAAAGAAACCCAGAATACATTTTAAGCACCTAATGGCCTTTCTTTATAGTGTAATAAATATTCATGACTCCACCAATACTGAACATCAATGTTGCAGAGATCAGAACTGCAAGGAGAAAGCCTCCGCTCTACCAGAATATACAGTTTACTGAAGCAAAAGTCACAACAGTGCAGTGAAATGTGTTCTCTGCATTAGTTAAAGTAAATTCCATCTAATTTTCATGGCTTTATTTATTCTGATTTAAAATCTGTGGATTTGTTTTTCTGTTAACGATTATGGTTCTTTGTAATGAACAGATTATAGGTGAAATAAAAGTTTAAGTATGTCTTTGTTATTTATCTTAGCCTTTAATCTTCAAAACTAGAGAACTTGGCTTGATTTAACTTTAAAAAATGAGAAATAAAGGTGTCTTTTTATTCACTGTACATAAACATTCGACTGTATGTAAATATTTTAATAGTCACACAATGTAACCCACTGAATGAACTATGGTGATATTTTTCCCGTTTTAAAACTGGACTAAGTTTAACTTTGAAAATAAGTGTTACATTCTGATATATAAAACATCAGTATGTTATGATCTAACACATACATTTAGGGTTAATCAACCCAATAATTTGTTTTGTATTCAAAAATGTTACTCTCATAATTAAACTCACAGAAAAATCAAACATTGAAAGTATCCAAGTCCATCAATACTGTAGAAAACCTATGCTGAACATTGATTTGATGAGTTTACAAAGTTTTTGTCCAACTCCCTTTGTTTGCATTTTTGTAGTTCTGAGACAGATTCATGACCCTTTACTCTTCAGAAATCTGGCTCAAAAACAATCCAATACACGGATATAAACACCTGCAAACCATCAGGCTATTGATCTGTCCTTGGACAGTAAACACATCTAGTCAGCACTGTGGCCTTCTGGAAACTGACATCAGTCAGTTCTCTCACAATAGGTGGGATAATGAGCAAATCATAAGCCAACCGCGGCTTACGCAGTGATTTTACCTGTTGGAGGATATGCACCCGAGGTAAATCAGTGCTTACACAAACAGAAAAGCTTTTAGACAGAGACGTGCGTTTGCCTCTTTTTGACAGAATCTGAGAGTCAGTAAGCCTTTAAACTGGTCACCACCTGGTAATTAAAGCTCAATCAGTTTTGTTAAATAATAGAAAACGGAGGAAGTTGTGCTTGGCTCATGATCAGATTGTGTCCAAAAGTTAAGAAGACAAGACTGATGCACAAAAGTGTGATAACCGTGTGACAGTTTTGGGTTGCATGAATAAAATGCTTGGGAGATATTATGTTAAGAAGGTGTGTTGGGCTGACAGTGGTAGTGCAATTTTGAAGGCTGCCATTAAAAACTCTTTGAAAACTGATATTGGTTATGAAAACAGGTAGTATCTCTACAGCTCCTTAATGAAGGATTTAGTTCACACAACTGCAGCTATGTATTCAAGATACTCCTGTATAATTCACTTCCTGTCGCTTAGTGGGCAATATTCATGCACAACACACCAGAGTTGGAGTTTTGAATCAAGCCGTGTGCCTGCTTTAATAGTTTCACGCTGACGTGAATTTGTGTGTGAGCACGTGTTATAGTGACTCCGAGAAGAACTTGCCCCTGCACTTCACAGATCCACTAAAGCCGCCGTCGTTCTGGGGTTAATTGGAAATATGCAAATTTGGAGAAACTTTCAGAGAAGAGAGAGGTGGAATTAAAACGAATTAAGGATACACGAGTCCGCTTATGCACACGTACAGTACAGACACACCAAAAGGCAACAACAACAAAATCTCTTTAACCCTCTGAAATATTCAACGGGCAAAACGCATCAGATTAAAGGATAAGAATGGACTTATCTTTCTTATCTTTTTATCAATGCCAGCAAATCCTGTAAAAAGACCAAAATCGCTAACGGATTTATCACTAAGCACTGAAATGTAAAGTTTGATGGAGATAGCTTTCCATGAGGCTTTATTCCACCAAAAAACCCGCCAGTAATCATGAAACAAATTGAATCATCAATATGTCAATAAATGTACTTAGAAATATTGTACATATGTACAGCTATCTCAGTTTTACATATGTAAAA